TTATTTCACTTGCACACCTTGTCTTTTTGGTTTTTTTTTTTAAACTACCCAAGGACAGTTGTGGTTAAAAATAATTGATATCCGATAATAAATACTACCTTAATCCTAATTATAAGACCTCATTTGTAGATTATAAGAACTCGTTTGTAATCTACAAACAAAATCTTATAATTAGAACCGAAAGTAGTATTAGATATGTATGTCGGTTATTGTCCTATAAATATTGAAGCTTTTCTTAATTGAAAATAACCACCAACAACAGATATGGATCATCCAGCAAATATAAAGGCCAAATTTAATTATGCAAGCATCAGAGACTTCAAACTCTGTCCAGCTGTTATTGGTTTGAACATAGGCAAGTCCCAGACTGTATCATGTGCATTACGGTCTGCTCAGAATTCTGGTGTTCTTGGAAATAGAAACGAAATAATAAAAGCTACAAATCAAAACACGCAATTAAATGCCAAAGGGTCTATCCTTGGCACTTGTTATTTCCCTAAACTCTGTTATTTCAGTAGTCAACTTCTTGTGACGTTCCACTAGAGCCGACAGTTGATAATCAGTTGCTTCAAACGAAGTTTGCGGCATCTCCCTCTCTCTTTGTGTCACTGCAACTCGCTTTCTGGCTTCTACTATTTGCTTTTGCTTTTGAACTTGTCCCAAGGCAATGTCACACATCTCCAGCTCGGCCTCCTTCACCTGAATTTCCTCTTCAGCTGCCAACACATCAGACATGTCAGCACCAAAAACTCTGGACCGAACCGAATCAACCCACTCTTTGTCGAACCCAAGTAAGGTTGCATCACATAAGTTAGCCTCCAAGGTTGACTTTTCTGAACTTGTGATGCTATAAGGAGTCTTGGTAGCTAGCACCACCAAAATATCTATTAGCACTCCGTAGGACCAAGCTATCATACGTTGTGAGCGTTGTTCCTGAGGTAGCAATAGTCGAGGATATCGTTCGAGTGCTTGAGCAAGTAAAGCCGCTTCACCATCTTTTAGCTCCACAAGTTGGAAAATTTCACAAACTCCCAATTTATAAGATGAAGTGCCAGTATCATCAGCAATTTGTGATTCTGTCACAGCCAAAAAAGCTAGCAAAGGGTTCAAAAGAATGAGCAAAAAAAAAAAAAAGTGTAATCTGATTCAGCTTACGGTGATGAAGAGAAGTAATGACTTGGGAAGCGATCGCTTTTATAGGCTTCTCTGATTCAGATTCCTCTTGAATACTTGTGCGATCTCCTGTTTTTGTAACAGTCTGCGTACAACAAAATGACTTATGCACTCTAACAGACGTCGACATGTGAACATGCAAACTAACTTATGCAGAGTAAGAGTAAAATCATCATACGGAAAACATCAATTTCTATAATTAGAAGAAGGTAACAAACTTACTAGTGCAGAATCTTTTCCAGAGAGATTATCAATTGGTCCTGTAGATCGTTTCCTTGAATCTGAATTAGTCGATAGAACTATGGTCATGGCATCATCTTTTGCATAATTCTTTTCAAGACCTTTGATGCTTTCAGTGATCTAAAAGTGAGACGAAATTAAGTTTCGGTTTCACACGTTACATAAGTGTCGGAGTACCACCCTCAGCTTTGGCAATGTTGTGAAAGACACTTTAAAAATGTACAAGTGTAGGAGTTCTATTTTTCAATGTCCAAGAATCAAGAATCCAAAAGCTTGTTGGTTAGTCATTGGATGTTGATTAATCATTAAAAAGGATTACAAGCCAGTCTTAACATTTATAACCTTTTCATACATTAAAAAGATATTGATCACCACACTTAAAATCATTTTATATCAGTAATAAACAGTGATTGGAAATGTCAATCTGATTGACTCTAAATTTGTCAAAATTGGAGCCACTGATATTCTAACGGCTTCTTTCTCTATTTCTTTTGTCCTCTGAATAGCATCACAAGATAAAATTTGTTTAACATTATTCCCATAATTATAAGTAGGCAAAAAGTAAAAGGAAAAAAGCATCTAGCAACTTCATAATTCATGGGGTATAGGTATATTAATAAGGATAATGCATTTTTTTCTGGTAACTATAATGCATTTACTTGTTCAGTAATGGGTGATACTTTGGTTTTCTTCCTTGAATCTGAATCAGTTGATTGAACTGCTATTGTGGCTTCCTCTGTTGCATCATCCTCTTGAGAGCCTTGCTCGTGTGTTTCCTTCACTAGCAACCTAGAAAACACAAAGAAATTTCTCTTCCAATTGTGTTCCTCCATAAATGAAAACATGCTATGAGTTTAAAATGATGAACTTACTGAACTAACCAATGTAGATGGACCACATTGCGAGCCTCCAACTTGTGAAACAATTGAGGAAGTAACCCACTGCAAAAATACCAAAAGATATGAAAGAATCTGTTGGTGTGTCATGCTTGTTTTGCTTCTTGATTTTGATGGCGTCAAATCCCAAATCAACAAATGAATAAAGAACTACGTTATCATGTATTGTAATGATCAAACTTGAAAATAACTTAGTCCTCTATGCTATAACGTACGTTATAGCACAGAGGTCAAAGTTCAATAAGTTCCTAGCACTCGGTAGGACCAAGCTATTATACGTTGTGAGCGATGTTCCTGAGGTAGCAATATTTAAGGATATCACTCAGGTGTTTGAGCAGGTAAAACCGTTTAACCATCTTTCAGCTCCACAAGTTTGAAAGTTTCACAAATCCCCAATCTAGGAGACGAAGTGGCAGCGACGGTGACTTGTTTTCTGTCACAACGAAAAAAGTTAGCAAATGTAGTTGTTCAAAAAAGAGGGGAAAAAACGTATACTCAGAGGTCTATTGTTTCCTTGAAAACCATAAGTTTAAAGTAATTATTTGTACATTTAACACCTTAAAATATTTTTTCAGTGACAATATGTATCCTAAAATATATTTTTATGGCATTGGGAACTCTAAAATATATTTCTAAAAGCACCTAGTATCTCAAGTTCAGTGTTCTTACTGCTACCAAGAAAATATATTAGAAGTTTTTTCAGTTGTTTTCAGTTTACTAAAATAACTTTTGATGTATCTAACATTTTAGAGTATTTTTCAATAGCACCCATATCATAAAATAATTTTTGATACAATCTGTTGTCCTTAAAGTATATTGTCAGTAGCAAATAAGCACATGAGCACATTAAACTTAGGGGGTGTTTGGATAGAAACCAAACCATGGTTTCAGAAGTGCTTTTACGGATTACGAAGTAAATATGTGGAGAAGATTACCTCATTTTGCGGAAAAGTGCTTCTGAAACCACGGTTTTGAGAATGCCAAACACCCCCTTAGAATAGTGGGTGGTTCTAAAAATATATTTTAGAGTATTAGATGCCATAAAGACTTATTTTAGTAGAAACTGTTATTAGAAAAATATTTTAAGATGTTGAATGTATAAATAATTACTTTATGATACTGGATTTTACTGAAAATACTTTAGAGTACTGAATGTTACTCATCTAAGTTATTTTACTCACTTAATTTTTTTTAACTTTTTAATGAAAGACAATTTTTGTGGCTTTATAAAATGTATATGAGGAGGATATTAATTTATTATTGGAATAACTAGCTTTCTTCCAACTCAGCGCCTCCTCCACCATTCAATCATTCATCCATTTGGCCCCTTGTGGCGCTGCGCACGACGTCGTCTAGGGAGCCGACAGGCAACGGAGGAAAAAGGCAAAGGAGGGAAGTCCAATTCGAAGAGGACCAGGGAAGCGTGAGCCCGTTTTCTTATAGGGGCTCGGGTCCCGCATGTCATCCCTTCAGATCATGACCAGGGAGAATTATAATCAAATTCTAAAAAAGAATAATTTTTAAAAAGTCTCGTTAACAGATAAGTTCTAGAATGAAGAATAATAATTTTTGTAACTTATTTTGTAATTTTTTTTTCTTGGGATCTCATTATAATTCTCCTTTATGATTATAGAAGGAATGATGACAAAATAAGTTAAAAAAAAATAGAAAAAAAGAAGAAAGAGAGTTGAGAGAACAGAAAACTAAGAAGGATGATGAAGGAAAGATTAAATATCTGAAATTGAGAATTCGATAAGCAATATATAACACGAAGAAACAGACTATCAACAAAAGCAAGTTCTAAGATTATCCAATTAAAAAAATTAGCACAATATTACCCAATCAAAAAAAAGTTCTATCCAAACTGTTTTTCTTTTTAACATATATAACATAAAGATATATTTTATTGTGAGAAATCAGAGTATGGTGGAATTCTTGATCTCTGCTTTATTAATAAATAAAAGATGCTTCCCCCTTCCTCTGTTACGCACCGCTTCTAAATAATTCACACACACACACACACACACACACACACACATATATATCAATAAAAATAGTTAAAAAGTATTAAATATATTCTAAAATTCAAGTGATTTTTTAATATTATTGTTATTAAATACCATGAACTTCAACATTATTAATTTTTTACTTTCTCTCACTACCTTTATTAAATATTTAAATATGGGAATATTTAAAAAAATATATTTAATATTTATTCAAACTATTAAAATGTCATGTAAAAAAATAATTTTTTATTCATACAAATATTATGAAATTTTCAAATAATTTTTAATTATATTAAAATATTTCATATGTTAAAAATATGTTATTTTCTAATTTATAAAATAAATTTTTAATTTCGTAGTAAATTTATATTTATGTAATAATTGGAAATACAACTATATTGTTCAAATCAAAGAGAACCAAGCGGCCTTCCCCCGGGGGAAGTTCTCTATCCATTGCAATCACACCCAATGAAAATATAAAGAGAAGACTTATAATGAGAATCAGTTTCCGATTTAAAAATCAAAGTTGTAACAAAATATGAATCCATCAAATATGTATTCCACAAATACGTCAGTTGCAGATCATCCATGAAAAATAAGGTCTGGTTTATGAATACATGAGAGTGATAAATAATGTTTGGATATACATACATACATATATATATATATATATATATCGATCGTAGGCATCATGGTACCCTCCTCTGGAGTCTTACTACAATCGAAAACCAATAACAAAGCACAATAATGTAAAACACACCTAAATGCCAAAGGGTTTACCTTTGGCACTTGCTATGTTTCTGATCATGGTCATGTTCTGAAACAGTTTCTTGCAATGTTCGGAGAGATCCAACAACTGAGAATCAATTTCTCCAAGCTTGCCCCCCATGGCTTGAATCTCCTCTTTTGCTGCAGAGATATCAGATATGTCAGCGCGAAAAACTTTGGCACGAACTGATTCAACCCAGTCTTTGTCGAACCCAAGAACAATTGCTTCACTTAAGTTTGCCTCCAAGGTTGATTTTTCTGATGTGGTAATGGTATAAGGAGTCTTGGTGGCGAGCATGACCAGAATATCAACCAGTACCCTGTAGGACCAGGCTATTATACGATGGGTTCGATGTTCACGAGGCAGCAATAGTTGGGGATATCGCTCTAGTGCTTCAGCAAGTAAAGCTGTTTCTCCTTGTTTCAACTCCACAAGTTTGAAAATTTCAAAAATCCCCAGTTTAGGAGACGAAGTGCCATCATAAGCAATTTGTGATTCTGTCACAGGTGAACAAGTTAGCAGATGGATCAAAGACCCAAAAAAAAAAAAAAAAGAGGTAGTACTATAATGATCATGTAAAGAAAGACACTTACGATGATGGAGAGAAGGAATGACTTGGGGAATGATTGCTTCCTCTTGAAAATTTGAGTTATCTCCTGCTTCTTTAACAGTCTACATCGAACGAAATTAAAAGGGAAAAAAAACAAAGTAGTTGTATTTAATTGGTTCTCTTTTAAAATGAGTAGTTGCTTATCACTGTACTGTTAGAGATAGCTTAAAACACATACAAGGGCTCTTATGAATGGAGTTGCCATTGGTGATGTGTCTGTAGCAGTAGCTTTTTCATCAATTCCTTTTGCTTTTTCCTTAGCACTCTAACAGACATTAAGGTAACATGTGAGCATGTAAACTAACTTGTGCAGAATAAGGAAAAAACATCATACAGAGTACTTCGATTTCTATAATTAGAAAACGGTAACAAACTTACTAGTGCAGAATGTTTTCCAGAGAGGTTATCAATTGGTCCTGTAGATTGCTTCCTTGAATCTGAATTAGTTGATCCAACTGCTGTCACAGCATCATCTTCTGCATAATTCTCTTCAAGACCTCGTTCTGTTGTATCTTTGATGTGCTGAGGAATCTAAAAGTAAGAAGAAATAAGTTGCAGTTTCATATGTCCTATAAGTGTTAGAGTACTACTAAGTTGTGAGAGACACTTAAAAAATGTATACTGTAGTTCTTTTTTTCAGTATTGAATAATCAAGAATCCAAAACTTGTTGTTTAGTAGTTAGATGTTGATTAGTTGTTAAAAAGAAATACAAGTTGGCCTTAACTTTTATAAACTTTTTACACATTAAAAAGTTCTTGATCAACACACTTAAAATCATTTTATATTGGTAATAAATAGAGATTGGAAATGTCAATATGATGACCTCTAAATTTGTCGAAATTGGAGCCATTGATAGCTGCGAAGCATGTATTTTAACAGCTTTTTCTATTTCTTCTGAGCCCTGAATAACATCACAAGATAAAATTTCCCATAATTATAACTAGGCAAAAGTATGCATCTAGCAACTTCATAATTCATGTGGTATCTTGTATATTAGTAAGTATAATGCATTTTTTTCTGGTAATTATAATGCATTTACTTGTGCAGAAATGGATGATACTCTAGTTTGCTTCCTTGAAATTGAATCAGTTGCTGCATCATCCTCTTGAGAGCCTTGCTCATGTGTTTCTTCCATGCTGCCAACCTACAAAACACAAAGAAATTTCTCTTTTCAATTGTGCTCCTCCATAAATGAAAGCATGCTGTGAATTTGAAATGAACGTGGTAAACTTACCAATTTAGATGGACCAAATTGCAAGCTTTCAACTTGTGAAACAACTGAGGAAGTAACACCCTACAAAAGTACCAGAAGATATATAAGCATCCTGTTGTTTAATTATGATCCTTAGATCCTTAAATATTTTGTGAAGATTCAAGTATACAATAATCATCCTATCTCGTAGCTCCTCCTGGCGTTTCATGCTTGTTTCGCATCTTGATTCTGATGGCTTCAAATCCTAAATCAAGCAATGAATAAGGAAAAAGGTACATGTTTAAGCCATTATTTAGAATGCATTCCTAATTCTTTATTTCAAAAATGTCTTAAAACACTAATCAATAACCAATGGAAGCTCTTTTTGGTGAGGAATGATTAATCCTTTTGATGAATTTCTTGGTGCTAAATCAGCTATCATAGTTGTTGCCACTACATCCTCTGAGGTGAGACCACCTTCAGCTCTTTCTTTTGATATGATATCAATACTTTGAGTAACACAGAATAGGAATAAGTATCATATATTGTAATGATCGAACTTTAAAAAAAATTAGTCCTCAATGTTATAACCTACATTATGATCCAATGGTATATTGGTTTTCTGAAAAGCTTCAGTGGTTTTTGTTTCTGCAAAATCCTCTTGTTGGAGCTGCATAGTTGATTCACTTGTTTTGTGTTCATCCTGCAACTCCTATTTAAAATATTAAATAATTAGCAAAAAACCATTTTGACACGTTTCTATCCCTATCATGTTGAAATCACTTAAATAATCTATATATAAACTTACATGTAAAGATATGCCTCTCAGTTGTGATTTTGCTGCTAAAGTTCCTGATGCTTGTTTCTCTGAAGCTAGAACAGGATCTTGAACTTGAATTTCAAGTAATGTTTCCTCTGTGATCTACAACAGAAAAAGGATACATTTTATCCTTGGATTAGTTTTGCTTATATATATATTTATATATATAAATTGTGCATGTAAGTCTAATCTTTGAACTCAACAACATATATTAGATATTTATGATTTTTTTTTCACATCCTCAATAATTAACTTTATATTTCTGAATGAGTTGATGAAGTTATTAACTTCATCAGATATTGCAACCTGTTAATTAAATATTTCATTTGAAGCCCCTGTTCTTTTTTCTACTAAGCTCAATACACATATGATTCCTAAGCTATAAGTTTCTAATTAATATGTACCGCTAGAATCACTGTTTTTTCCCCCCTCTTGATCCACAATAATCCATGTTCTTGTCAATAATATATAATAGAGTTCCATTATGTGGTTTTTGCTCGGTCTCCACATATCACTACTCTGATGCGGGAAGTATTATAATAGCCTTTTTCTTTGTTTTTGAGCTTTAAGTAAACATCAAAGGACAAATTTTGTTCAACAAAATTAGATAAGACACGGTATAATAGATGACAAAAATTATATAAACAAATTTGAAAACAATAGTTTGGGAATTATATAAACTAATGTAAACTAGGTTTATTATCATTTCTTTCAAATTTTGTTCAACAAAATTAGATAAAAATGTTTAACTTTATAAAAATGTTGCCATTGGTAATATTCACAAAAGAGTGGTCTTAACACAAATGACAACTTGTTTTAAGTTAACACTCTCTCCAGTTTTATTTATAAGTTTCAAATTTAAGAAGAGGTATAGTCCATTTTATAAGCTTCAATTTGGGTTTATCTTAACATTTAATGTATTTTTCAGGTAGCCATTAATTATTTCTCTCCTATCAAATTTCCCCACACATTCTCTTTCATCTATTTTCTCATTTATTTCAAAGGCATATTTGAAAACAAAAATCTATTTCTAACTTATTTATTGTTTTTAACTAATTGTTTGTTATTCATGAATTAGTTATTTAAAGTTTATAATAAAGACCAGAGAGAGTAATATTAAAGCACATTTATTTATGCATTAGTTTCTCTCTCTTTTTTTATGTGCACATAATAAGTATGAATCTTTAAAAAAATATATATACTATGATATTTCTAATGTTTTCCCAAAAATCTTTGCACTAGTTGTAGTGATCAAAATTATGAACAGGTTAAATTCACTATTAAAAGAAAATATCCAAAAAAATAATGACTTTTTTTTTCTGTTCTTCTGATGATTAGTCTAATATATATACCTTTGTAAATTCTTGCAAAACACTTGTTGTTGCTTGATTTTCTGAATCCCTATTTTTAGGCTCTTCTCGGATTTGACCAGTTTCTGCAATAGAATTTTTAATATCAAATTAATATTCATAAAAATAGCTAGCAATTATCAAAAGACTTTTCTTGAATTCATACCTTGATATTTTGGGCAATCTTCCACTTCACATTGTAGATCCTTAAAATCAATCCCTTCACAAATAGAAATAAGCTTTGGGAGTTTTCCAAGTGTTGCCTTTGACAGTTTTGGAAATACTTCTCCCATTTTTGCCATCTTCTCCATATTATCTTGTTTGCATATAAATATTTGCTCAAGCTCAGAGGCTTCTTCTATATTCAAGACCTCCAACTTTGGAAACAGGCCACAGGTTGAGATAGAAAAGAGGAATTTCAAGCTATTACAACAATTGATGTCAATTTTCTCTAACTTTGGGAAACAAGGTTGATGCAAATGATCCTTATCACTCTCTTCAATGATGTTAACTAATTCGTCACAATCTCTTATCAATAAATTGGATAATTGTGGAAGGCTTTTCACTATTGAGCCACAGAAGATTGCTTTTAGCATTTTACATGCTATGATGTCTAGTTCTTGGAGATTGGGGAGGCTCAAAATATATTTGGAACCCCTGAATATTTGCCTTAACTCACTTAGATTTTCCAACCACATCATTTCAATACTTAATGTCATGAATGGACCTTCAGTTTCCACTCCTTCCAAATTAAGAACCTCTTCTATTTTGGAGTCTCTTACATCAAGAGTTGTCAGCTTCTGCATATCCTTGATAATTTTCATCTGGTCCTAATAAAAATAAATCAATTCAAAATTTCAGCATGAATTCAAATTACCACATTAACAAATTGTGAAAAATCCCAATACTGTTATTAATGTATAGATGTCTCAACATGCATTAAGTTATATAAAGAGAAACTTTATTTATGGATGCCTGGAATGCTTACAAGTTAAAGACACATACATATTGATTATACCTAATTATATCGACTTGAAATCATAAAATGTATATATACATGAGAAGCTAATTAATCCATAGTTAATTTCTTCTATAGATAAACTTATATATGGTGCAGGTTTCTTCCAAACTATTAGAAAATTTTTAAAATTTTAAGGTCATTGCTTTTTTCAGTTAACATCTTGTGTAAAAATCTGATGAAAAAAATAACATCTTGTGTGAGAGCCTGATGAAAAAAAAAAGCAATTTTTTTCTAAATTAAAGCTAAATTGTTAATTTCTATGAATGAAAATTCAGTAATTTTTTTGGCCAAAAAAATTTAGTAAATTCATGTCTTGACATGAAAAGTTTTCATGCATGAAAAACGTGTTCTTGGTGTTCGAGTTTAAATGCTAAGCGATCCCATTGTGATGAGAAGAAAATTTCCAAGAAGAAAAGGTAAAATAAACAAAGTAATATATATGGACCAGTTATCTTTCAAACTATTTAGCGGAAATATCTAAATTTTTCATTTTTTTTTTAGTTAACATCTCATACAAGATTTTGATGAAAGGCGCGCATGCGCACATATATATTGATGAAAAGCAAATGTTTATAAATGAAAAATAAATTATAAATTTTTATGTATGAAATGTCTTGACATGAAAATTTTGTAAGCATGAAAATATATTCTTGATGTTCAAGTTTAAATGCTAAGCAATCCAAATAAACAGAGCAACATGTAGATCACAGGACAAGAAGTCAAATGTGTTACCTTTGGAGCTTTCACATTCAATTGTATTCCTTGTAAATAAGCCACCAAATCTGTAAAAGATCTTCCGTTGAACTCTTGAAGACCCCCCAAATCAATGCTTTGTAGAGGCGGAAAGCTGAGGTGATATTTTTTGGCACCAATATTGTTGATTAACTTTGGCACATCTCCAAGTGATAGTGTTTCCAAAGCAGGGAGATGAATATTAAGCTCATCGCTTTCATTCTCATTTGATAAATGATGTCCATCATCACATTTCCCAAAAATGTATTTCAACTCAGCAACTCTCTTGATACTCAAAGATTTTAATTTTTGAAGAGTACCAAAAAGAGACAGAGGAAATATAAACTCCAGCTTGTTGCAATTGTTGATACTTAGATCCTCCAGTTTTGGAAAAATGGAGCTATAGTTCATGTCATGATGATGATTATTAGAATCATCTTCAACCACATTAACTAATTGCTCACAATGCCATACTTGTAATTGAGACAACTGTGATAGGTTTCTGCAAGTAGAGACAGAGAACAAAGATTTCAACTTCTGGTTTTCTGAGATTATTATTTGTTTCAAATTGTGGAAGTTGAGAACGTGTTGGAAGCCCACACTTGGAGTGAGTAGTGGTGTTTTGATGTCAACAATCTCTTGTATTTCAGATTCCTTTACTCCCTCACTTCTCACGTCTTCCATTTGCTTCTCAATTTCCTACAACACGTTTTCACAAAAAAAGACAATTCAAAATTTAAAATAATTTTGTCTATTTTGATCCTACAATTTAAAACAATGTTCTCTATTTCTATCCTTTGTGCTTATGAAATACATACACATTCACCCGCAAAACACAAACACACTATATTATTTTTGCGAAATATTTTAATTCAAATTTGAAATCTTTATAGAAAGCCGAATCACTTTGACATAATTAATTGTACATGTCTCCATAGGAAAATTATATGAAAGTCTTCATTGTTTTGAGAATGTTTAAATATTTTGTTAGCAATATGTAATTTATTACATATAATCTTTATACAAAATAAAAATATTGATAAACTGCACTTTGATTTAAACTGAAATAAAAAGATCAGAGTTAGAGAAGTTGACATTAAATTTAGTGTAATAATTAATATATTACCTCACTTTATCTAAAACTCTGAGGTACAAAATAGACATCAAATTTTAAACCAATAGAATTTCTTTTTGGCCATTCAAAAACGGTTAGGGTGCATGTAACCCCATAATATATAATATCTGATAATATATGTAATGTAAAGGCTTATCTTATTAATCAATATTAGAGTTGTAGGAAAATCGAGTAATTACGTGAGTATAAAATTAAGAAATTGGTATAGATTTAACATTTTATAAAAATATTATTACCAATTTGGATTAAAATATAAATAAGTTAAGACTGTCAAAATTTAATCTTATCATTTTTCAGTTGTAATTTGTAAACTATGGTTATAAAGCATAATTTTTCTCACTTTTTTGCTACAGTAATGAACTATTCAAATCAAATTTAATAGTTTAAATTTCTTTAGGTATTTTTTAAGCAAGATTATAATAATATTTTTATAAGAAGTTAGTTTTTATATAATGATGACAAAGTTGAAAGAAGAGTGGAGGATGTTCCCCTGCCTCAGTTTATCCATAACTTTAGGCATAAAAGGAGACATTAAACAAATACAAATATTCCAAAATAATGAATATTAAATTAGGAGTATGAGCATTTTAAAGATCAAATTGTTTCAGTTTGATTCCTGTTAGGTACCAGCTAAAATAATCAGGAAAAAAAATAATTGAAAATGAACAAAATTAGGATATACAACCAAGATGGAAGTCATACATGTTTGTCTTCTACGAGTATAAAATAATCCTTATACAAGATACATAAAAATATTGATAAATTGCATTTTGACATAAACTGAAAGCCACATGGCCCATAATAATTATATATAAAAGTTTAAAGTTAAAATTTTAAAAGAGAATAAATAGATAAAATATATTTTCATGCAAAAAAAAAAAAAACAGAGCAAGATTGAGACGCTATTAAATAATGAATTAAAAATAGTTACGTACCTTTGGTGCTTCCACAATCTGTGGAGATGGGCACTTTGGTTGATGTTTTTTGATACCAATGCTGATCATATTTGGTACACCACAGAGGAATAGTGATTCCAATGCAGGAAGATGAATGTGAGACTCATTACTTTCATGCTCATTTGATAGACACTCTTCATCATTGTATTTTCCAAAAATATATTTCAGCTCATGAGCTCCCGAAATATGTATAGATTTTAATTTTTGAAGACCTCCAGAAAGAGTGGATGGAAATATAAATTCCAATTTATTGCAAACCTGAACATCGAGGCTCTGTAGTTTTGGGAAGATGGAGGTGCGGTTGAGATGGACATCATCATCCTCTGCCTCATTTGTTATAATGTGCTTCAATTCTTCACAGTTTGCAACAAGCAGCACCTCCAACATGATGGTTGTGGCAATGGATACACTGAACAGTGACTTTAATTTTAAACATCCATCAAGTGAAAAGACCTCTTCTTAATACATAATTATAAAACTATTTTTAAAAGGATAACCATGGTAGAAAAAGAATTGAGTTAGAGTGTTAAAATACTACCATAGTTATAAAGAGTTTGACTTATTTCGAAAACGTCCCAAGTAGCTCAGGATACATAAAACACCCATGGATTTAACAACGTAGAACAAAGCCTTATGGCACAGTAACCGCCCACAAGCCCAACATAATATTCTTCCCACAAAGACTTAGGGCATAAGAAACATAGGTTGCTCAACCCAGCCCATAAGGCATACACATAAGAGTATCACATACAGCAGAGTCTTATGGCCTTCAGCCATTTTAACAGCATTCCATCAAATACAGTCATCCAAACAAAAGAAAGTATATGTCAACACAGTTGTGGGCCCTAAGATGGCAATATACATAACATTACATGCCTAAACCAAAAGAGGACTACTAGACTATGCTCGCCTATGCCTCTGGTTGCTTCCCTTCGCGCCGAGCCAAACTAGATGGCTCTCCTGAAAAGTATTGATGAACAGCGGGGTGAGACGTAAAGTCCCAGTAACCAAGTATTAATTTATGACATATACAAGTAGGATGGCAAGTTGGTGAAGTAGTGCTTAAATATAGTTTAAGAAATAAATGGTACTTTAATAGATATAATCACATAAAAAGAGTATATCTCTCCATCCACAACACAATTCATATAAAAGTACATATATGCAACAACACAATGAAATATGCCCTCCCATCGCCTTGCTCCTCCTTATGACTCCTTGACAAGGACCCGGGCTTTCTGTGCTGAGTAACCCGGCCAAAGGTCACCCCACTCACATCAAGCAACGGGCCCCCCTCCTGTACCTACACCGCCCAAGAATGGACTATGGTGCAAGAGGTGTCTACCCAAGAGTTCATTCTCAATTCCGAGCCAAGGAAAAGGAAGAACTACAGGGGTCTAACAATAAGGCCAAACACTGGGATCCGTAGTGTAGGCATGCCGCGCGGGCTTCAAGAACAATTATCCTCCACATAACAAAATCCCATCCTCCACATATGAACCCCATGCATAGTCACAATATAAATCAAAATATCACAATCTTCAAAATAAGATGATATAATTTCAAACAAAGTATAACACATTTTCATTTCATTTAATAACATAATATTAGTATATTAAATTCAGTACTACACGAAAACACAATTTCCAATAAAACACAACTCAAACATAATTAGATCAACATACTTCCCACTTCACCAAAATTTGTCATATAATAAAATATATATTTTATTCACAGGCATACTTTTACAAATTAACTAGAAAAATAAAAACATAATAAACACCTTACAATCCAAAGCGTGTATATAAAATAAATTAATCCCAGTTACCTCTATTCCAAGCTTAACCTCACAGCTTGAGAAATAAGAGCGCAAATTACAAACTCCGAAGTACAAGATAATCTACAAATAATATAGATACAATTTATTATACATACAAATAATTAACTTAAATTACATAGAATTTATTATTAATAATATTTATACATATATTTACTATCCAAAAATTCTTACTTCAAATAACAATTTTTCTCTACCCAAATAACTAATTTAAATTATAAATATTTATAAAATATGGTTTTTTATCTAATATTGTAAGAATCTCAATTTATAACTTAAGTTTCCAGTTTCAAAATTTTTCTAATAATATAGTCTTAACCTATTTTACATTTTAAACCGATTAAAATATCAATAATACATTAAGTAACCCAAATAAGTTATTTAACTTAAATTTAATCGGTAAAAACATTCTATATATCTTGAATAATACATTTTTCAACTAAAATCTTAGTTTAAAATTCTCAAAACAATCAATAAACAAATATAAACCGATTAAAATTTTAATAATATATCGAACAACCCAAATAAATTATTTAACCTATTTTTAATCGGTATAAATATGATATATATCATGAATGACAGATTTTTCAACAAATAAATTTAATTTTAAATACCATAGATAATAAATAGACAAATCTAAACCAGTTAAAATTAACTACTTATTTATCTCTAAATTTCTACAGTCATATATTGTCAAAAATCATTACTTACTTTGTACCCAGCTCACAAAATTTTCTCTAAACAGTGTAGTAATACTACTAATATAAAGCTCTAAATATATAGGAAATATTCATAGAGAAAAATTTAATAGAAAGAAGTGTTTAATGTACCTATATGATCCCCAAAAGCTAGCACGTCCTTGCAGAAATCTTCACTCACTCTCTTGTTCTTTGTTTTTCTTCCTACATCTCTCACCTCTCTTTCTCTACTCTACACAACACTCACACTCTTCTATTTATCCTTTAACATGCCAACCAACCTTCGTCAATTTTCTTCCTTCATTTATTGTTCTTCCCCATTTTTCCTCCTCCCTCTTTAATTACCCGCGTGAAAAATTCTTCTTGGCCTTCAATTCACCCCAGCTTTTCCACCGACTTTGGTGGAAAAGTTGGGGTGTGTTGTTTTTTTTTTTTAAATATTAATAAAATATTATTATTTAATAATAATAAAATATTATTTTACATTATTTAATTTTTTTTTTTTTAAGGATGTTACATCAAGCATCATCCCCCTTATATTTTGTAGGTTCAATGGTTGTCTCATAAGACACTCAGCTGAATGAAATGTTTCAATCCTTTCACTCAATACATGTGATTCCTACAACCAATCACTTCTCTTAAATTCAACTTAATTATATAACTAATTACTTTCTATCATATGATCATATATCTCAATAACAATCCCATTATAAACTGAGATGAACCGAAAAAGAATTAATGTATCAGAAAATACATGAAATATAAAGAAGTTTGTCAAGCATCTGGTAACATCGTGCCCACTCTACTAGTCAAATAATAGAAAATGAAAAAAAAATAAAGCGTTGAATTCACCCAAGATCCTACTCATGTAATGATATGCCTGTTATCACTATTTACGTGCGCGTGTGAATTTTTATTTTTCTCTTTAATTTTTACTGAAATGAAAATATCGAGTGTGTGTTTTTCCAACCCAAGACGAAAGGCATACGTGTTTGTGTTTTGATAGTATATATATTTCCTTAATTTAGTGCACTTAAGAAAATAATTAATATAACTGCTTTATGAATTCTGATGAAGACTTATTTTATTGATAAATATTACAGTTGTAGAAAAATCGAGTAATTACACAATATAAAATTACTTTTTTCAATTTAATGCATAGAAGAATTCCTTTTTTTTTTAATTTTTAATCACTTGTGGTATCCGATTTTACATTTGACTTGTATTCTTTCGAGATTCTTAAATTTACCTCACTAGAAATAATTTTATTTTTTTTCCAAGAGCTTTCTGTCATGTACACAAACCTCAAAAATATCATTTATTGGGTCAAAATCTGTACTTAAATATAGAACAATTTTTTGAGAAAAATTCATATTAAATATTAATTAAATTTTTATAAAGAAAATATTATTTAAATGACTGTTTTTATCAGAACTTAATATTGACGAACCGATGCATAAAATTACAACAACATAAAAAATTAAAAATATGTATAAATAAAAAAGGACTATAAATATGACATATCATGACTCTCATATAAATTAAAAGAAAAGAAACAAGTGCCATGTCACACTTTCAATAAAGCCAATCAATTGGCAATACCGCAATAGTTATATTACCACATCTCCCCTATGTTATTAGACCTACATGCCTTAAAAAATAAAATGTGATTTATAAGTTATTCAACTAATAACTTCCGTGCCCCTGATACTAGTCAAATAATAGAAAAATAAAATGATAATAAAACATTGAATTAACCAAAATTCCTGCTCATGTCAATGATATGAAATGTAGATGTCAATGATAAGTTATCAGTATTCGTGCGTGTGCGAGTATTTATTTTTGTCTTCAATTTTTACTGCAATAAAAAGACTAATGTTAGACAAATTGACATCAAATTTAGTGTAATTAACGTATTACTTCAGTTTATCCGAAATTCTGAGATACAAAAATAGATGTCAAATTTTAAAGTGAGAATATGAAATGTAGGCATATGAATATGAATATGCATCAAGTAAACATAACTATTCCAAAATAATGAATATTATATTGAAACTATTAGCATTTTAAATCTCAAAAGAAAACTGAATTGGACGGGGTACGCAGGCAGCCCCCAACATTCGAGGACTTAATGCTATGTTTGGTACACTGGAATTGGGCTCAAAAAATGGGAAGCGGAAATGGAAGTGGAACCCAAATTTAACTTGTTTAGGGTGTGTGGGTGTGAAGTAGGTTCCTGGTGAAAGTGGGTTCCATCAAATTTGATGGAACTAGGTTCCTTGGGTACACTGGGATAAGTTATCAGGAACTGAAATTTTATGACGATCCTATCCTCAATTATTTTGTTAATTGACAATCTTACCCATCATAATCCCCCTCCGATGCCCTCCTCCGGCACCCACTTCCAGCTGTCATGTCCCCCTCCGTGTTGTTTCGATGCTGTGATGGGATTAGATTTTTATAGTTCTTGACAAATCTGAGTTTGACTAAGATAAACTAAGATTGACTCTGTTTGAATGAGCTTGTTTCGATTTAATTGGTCCTGAGTTTGATTTTACCGAAAGTAGCAGATTTTCCGATAATCCTTCTTTGGACACTGGCCTTGGATGAAGGGGAGGCGAAGAGATATTTTTTCAGAAGGTATTTTGGTATTTTCTTATTACAAATATATATTTTAATTAAAAATTATATCTCAATTCCATCATTCTACCAAACATGTTTTAGGACTCCCTTCCACTACCACTTCCACTTCCAATTCCACTTCTATTTTTATCTCCACTTCTATCAAAAAAACTCTACCATCACACCAAATGGGGCACAAGTGTTAATGATATACCTGTTATGATGAATATTTATTTTTCTACTGAAATAAAAAGATCAAGTCTACGTAATTCCAACCCAAGACGAAAGCCATACGTGTCTGTGTTCTGATAGTATATATATTCCTTAACTTATTAGTGCGCTTAAGAAAATAATATAACTGTTTTGTTAATTTTGACAAAGACTTATTTTATTTTTCAAAATTAAAATTGTAGGAACATTGAGTAATTACACAAATATAAAATTACTTTTTCAATTACTGCATAGAAGAACTCTTTTTTTAATGGCTTTGAGCTTTATCTCATGCACAGGGACAAACCTCAAGGAAATCATTTAGGGAGTTACAATCGGTACTTAAATATAGACTAATTTTTTGACAAAAATTAATGTTAAATATTAATTGATTTTTTATAAAGAAAAAAAAATTAAATTACTGTAAATGTACACTTTATCAAAACTTAATACTAAGGAACCCATAGATAAAATTATAATAACACAAAAAAAAATGTATAAATAACAACGACTATAAACATGACCTACTATGACTATAGTATATTAAAAGAAAAGAAACTACAGATAAAAACAAACAAGACCTATCATTTTTTCCCTCCCCGTTTCTCTAAGGCTTCTCTTACCGCATCTCCTCTCCATTATTAGATCTACATGTCTTAAAAGAGAGAAAAATATCTATAAACCATCCATGGACCATATGCTAATAAAAGGAAAGTTTAATATATCAAATATCACCTTTTTCCATTAAAAAAAACATAAACATAAATGTTGAATAAAAAGAGCAAGCCCAAAGTAGCATACCTGTGAGATTGTGCAGTCTTCCAGCAGGGGGGCATTAGAAACTCCAATATTACTGTCTTTAGTTGAGGCCAGAAAACAACACCCATGAGCCCATGAGAAAGCACTTGTCTGAGAGTTCTTATGGCTCTCCTTCGAATCTTCTTTCGAAACATGAGGCGGCCTTGGCACACATGTCTTGCATTTTTTAAATATGTTAATAAAACTTGGTACTATCTGAAGTCTCACTTGTGTTAGTACAGGGAGCATGATTTCCTGTTGCACAACTTGGCCCGCATTATCTTTATATTCACCAAATATATATTTTAGCTCCCTACAGCCCCATATACATAGATCTTTCAACCTGGGAAGGTCTCCAGCCAGAAGAAATGATGATACCACTTCTAATTTGCCACATCTTCTAATTTGAAGAGACTCTAATGCGGGAAACAATAAGCCATGACGTTTTTGATAATCAACAATCCTCATTTCTTCTTCTAAACTCTCGTCTGCAATTAAACTTTTTAGCTCTGTGAAACCCTCAACTATTAATTCTTCCAATTTCCCAAGACTTCGAGCAAAAAAGGGTTTGAAAATTGATGGTTGGAACATTGGGCAATCTTTCAATTCCAATACCCTCAGATGAGGTAGCTTGAGATTTGCGTCTAAGAATATATTTTGCAGTTCCCTACAACCATCTAACTTTAAAACCTGTAACTTCTCAAGAAACCTAGAAGGCGTAGCACCGCGACATAATTCTTTCACATCCACTTTACACAGATGTAACTCAACTAAGTTCAAGAAGAATGTCAAATTAGAATAGTGACACTTATTACTATTAATAAGGCACTCAATGTCAGCCCAATCATACAAGTAAAGCTTGATTAAATTATCCTTGCCACGCTCTTCCATAGGAATAATGTCAGGGATAAGACTTTTCCATCCTGTTTGTCCTAAATTCCCTAGCTCAAGAACTTCTGCTCTTCGCACAAGGTACTTAAACATGGCTTCTGATATTAAATTTTTCAGATGTTCCGCATTGAAGCATTTTAATAGGCCATTATCATCATCAGCAAAACATTTAAAACCATCGCAAGCAATTGAAAACATTTGCAATGCAGAAGGAGATATATGGGGAGCATTTTCATCTTCAATTTCTTTTTCATCCTCTTGCTTCCAATCCTTAATATTGTAATTCTCAACAAAATGCAATTCTTCCAATTGTGAACATCTTTCAATAACTTGAAGGGGATTGTTCTGTTGAATTCCACACTTCTTAAATCCCAACAATCTCAACATCTTCAGTTCCATGATGTCTTGGGATAATTCAATAATTAGACAATTTTCCATCCCAAGTGTCACAAGACCTTGTAAATTCTTCAAAACTGAAATGTTTCCTATTTCGCAACCATCCAAGATAAGAGTTTGAATATTCTTTAATGAAACAAGTGATTGCGACAATGACGGAGTGGGAACTCTTCTGTCATATTGACCGAGCAAAAACAGAATTTTGAGGTTTGACATCCTTGCAAAGAATGCATTTGCATCTTTTTTCAAAGCATTTTCACTTATCCAAAGAAGTAAAATCTCAACCTTCGTACCATCAAATTGATCAGGAAAATCATCAATACTCCAAAACACAAATCGCTTACTTACTTCAAAAGTTGTTCTTGAATTCATAATCACTTGAATATCATCCTTCGCTATCCATTGAGCTACTTCACGAACCAAGTCGTGCATCTTTACACATTCTTTATTCTCAACCTTCAGTAGCAAAGAAGAAGCTATAAGTTCATTTTTCACTGCAAGTGGTTTGCTTCGTGCTGCACAATATTCGTTAACTTCCCCAAAAATTCCTGACCCTATACCAATTCTAATAATGAGATTTATAGGAAATTCATAGTCTTCTGGGAATATAGAACACAATAAAAGAAGCTTTTGGGCCTTCTCATTATTTAATTTATCATAGCTTAATTTCAAGCAATTATAAACATTCACCAATTCTTTATCGACATCAACAATTGGCTTATTATCTTGTAAAGTTGTCAAAGCCACAATCCATTCAGCAACAGGCCAATTTTTTAATGTGCTAGCTAGTGCCACAATTGCAATTGGTAATCCTCCACACTCCTTCACAAAAGCTCGTGCAAGACCCTCTAAATCATTCCTTGAAGGATGATCAGCATCACAACTTCTAGCATGATACAGAAAGAGACGCACTGCATCCTCATCACCCAATGTGTGTAGGTGAACTACTTTTTGGCATATCATTTGTTGATAAACTTTTGAATGACGAGTGGTTATCAAAACATAGCAATTCTTGTGATCAGGTCCAGATGGAATCCCAAGTTCAGTTAGATCCAGCTTCTCCCACACATCATCAAATATTATGAGTAACTTTTTTTCATTATTAGAAATTCTAGACCACAAATGTTTTGAGTGATCTGCTTCAATTCTTTGATCTAAATCCAAACCTAATTGCCTTGCAATATCGCCTCGAATCTTGTTGACATTTGGAGAACTGGACACAACAACAAAGATGACTTTCTCAAATGCTTTGGATTCTTCAACTTGCTTTCCCACTTGTGTTGCCAATGTGGTTTTACCCGTTCCCGCCATCCCTTGCAATCCAATCGTGTAATGATTTCCATCTTCTAATGCATCCAAAAGTTCCTTGAATTTTGTCTTCCTGCTCTCAAAATCAATGAAGTCTTTTGAAGCATGGTACTTCATACCTGGAAGTTTACTTGGACGAGCTACTCCTTCAAAGTTTTTATAATTTTGGATGTGACTTTTAATGACTTGCGCCCTCTGTGCCAATATCTTGCCTTGTCGATATTTCCTAAGAAAAGAACAGCTATCAAACCTTGTTTGCCTAACTTCAGCATTCATTTGAATTAGTTTATCAGCTTTCTTTATCCAATCTTGAACTTCACCGTCAACTTCTTGCGCATTAATGTTGGCGTCGTCAATATCCTTTCGAACTTTCTCTAATCTTCTACGCAAAAGTTGATTGTCCTCGTCAAACTCGTGATCATGAGTCTCGAAATGACGAAAGTAAGTAACTTCCTTTATGGTTTTATCTACCAATCTCTTGGCAAGATCTGTTAAAATACCTTCCCCAGGGCATGCCATCTAAAATGGACAGGACATTAAATTAGGATTCCAAAAGTAGTAATTAAAAATGTGAAAAGCTATGATGATACATAATGTTTTACAAATATGTAATGAAATCTCTGGTGTAGTCAATGCCCAACCATTTGCATTCTCTTTTGTTAGTTCTGGGATCCAAATTTTAATTAATAATTAACTATATAAATAGATAAGTAATAAACGAATTACAGTATTGCAAACACAAAAATGTCATAAAATAAAATTGTATTATATTTAAATTGTATGTGTACTATCTTTTTGGACCAACTTAATTTCCAATATCAATATTTAATAAATGCCTCCTAATTAAAAGAGTTCAGGATACAAGCAGACCCGCGGGTCAAACCTAACAGGTTAGTATTCTCCTGATGGGTTAGCGGACTGACTATATAATTTTTAAAAACATATGTTTTTTATTTTTAATGTCAATCTACAAATTGTGATTTTATATTTTTAATGTCAACCTATAGATTATGATTATATCTCTTTTGGTAAATTTGTTCCCATGCAACTCACATTTAAACGACTAAAAGTTGAAACTAGAAGGACTAAAATTAAAATAACAAATTTAAAGGACTCAAAATTATATTAACCCTTATTAATTTTATTTTAATTTTGGAATATTTCTCAAAATATTAAAATGAATTATCACAGTGTATGAAAAAGATTCATTTTACATATAAGTAAACTTTTTATGGTCAAAATTTTTTAATTGGTTAATTAATTGACTTTAAAATTTACAAATATACTGTTTTAAATTAAGATTGCGAAGAATGAGGAAAATCTTGATCAAATAAGAAATTTTGTAGAGCGTAGACTCACATGACTTAAATGAAAATGACATAAAATTAAGATTCGTACGTACTTTTGCCTACATATTCAAATTCTAACATTATTTAAAAAAATTATTACCAAACGTCATAAAAGTTACCATACCATCTTTAACCTGTTTTTGGGTTTTAATTTATTTCAAATACATTATAGAGAAACATATAGAAATGTCAAGTTGGGATAAAAGTATAGTTTTGAAAAGTTTTCAGCCGAAAAAAAAGTAATCATGAAAAGTTTTCCTGAAATTCACAAAATATCATAAACTCAAGAAAATTAGTAAAGATGTTTGAAAAAAAAAATGGAGGCTTTAGAGAGGCATAAATAAAGAGAATACCTCAAAAAGGAATTTGTGGGAATAAAAGGGCTATTTTTGGGTGATTCGGTAATATTTAGGCAAATTATATAATAAACTAAAATTACATAAAAGTCCGAAATAATTATTTTGAGAATTAATAAAATTTCCGAAATAATTATTGTGAGAATTAATAAAATTTACTAAGAGAATTTTACCCAAGAAAATGGAATATTTTATTTTGAAATAATTTTTTAGCTTGAAAATTGTAATTTCAAAAAAATTAAAGGATAAATAATTTGGGATTAAATTTTGAGATGACAAAACTGCAGAAATTATTTTATGAGGAGAATAGATTTTGGAAGAGTTATTTATTGGTTGGGAATTAATGATGAAATTCAATTACGTACACGTTAGGAAATTGTCCAAAATTTCCTACCATAATTCCAAAAATTAAAACAAATCAATCCCAGCTCCCAAGCCTAATAAATCTGCTGATGGGCGAGGCTGGAGGTCTAATTATCCTAAAAATTATTTGGCCCAAAGGCGTGGTTAGAAATTACGGATTTCAGGTAATTATTATGAATCGTTAATAGTCTCATTTCTAATTGAGGCAAAAGCATAATTTTAGAAAGTTCTGGGTCCGTGAGGATAAGCACTTTAAAAACTATGCCCAAAAATTCATAAAATTCTTAGAAATTCATGGCAAATGGAATAAATGTCCTGGACAATATTTGTTGCAATTGTGGTGAAAATAAAGGAAATTTTCCAAAAAAGGAATTTTATTTAATTTCTAAAATTTTGGTTAGTTAAAGGATAATTTACTAAAATTAATTATGAAAAATATTAGGATGTCTAAAAAAATTGGATAAAATTGAAACGCGTTTTGTCCGTTATATAATATAAATGCCATAAGATGGAGAAATTAGACAAATTATTTAAATTTATAAATATTTATAAATATAATTGGTCGAGTATATATTTATCAAAAGAATTAACCAAATATTCCATCAAGTCTTTTATATGTCTGCATTTACTAAAGTACTTAAGTTTATGTCCAATATGATAAAGATATCAAACAAATAACTATTTTCAAAAGGAAAAGAAAAAGAAAACCCATCAATTCTTCAAAACATTTTCAGCAAAAGTAGAAATTAGCATTATGATGAAGGGTAAACTAGCATATTAATAATTTAGATGTAAGTGTATGTATTCAAAATAAACAAGAGATCTATGTAATTAAGACAAAATGTGAAGGAGGTTAGTGTATAATGCTGAGCATAATTTGCAAAATTAGGAAGGGGCCTCGTTAATGTTCAAATTCTCGAGTATAAAAAGATTAAGAAATGAATTGAGAAATAAATAACATACTGGAATTCTTGTGGGCTTAATTGAGTGCTTAAGAGCTTTCTGATTCTTTTTTTGTTTTTATGTTATTTAAACCAAGTTTGTAGAGTAGTCTTTCAAAACAACTTTGGAAAAAAATCTGTTTGAATAATTAATTTGAAAAACATATACTTTTCTGGTTCTTAATATAAGACATATTTAATTAATTTAATTAGATTAAAGAAGTTAAATAAGTTAATTAATTATAAGAAATATGATATGTTTTTCTTAAAATACCACAATCATCTTTCTTAATATCACCATTTCCTCTTTTAATTGATTATGCTTGAGGGAGTATTAATAAGAGTAACTTAGAAAAAACTGATAAATATGATAAATAGATCTTATATCTAGAATCAAAATTAACTCAATAATTAAGTCCTATTTTAAGGACCGGGAGAGTATAAAACAGTGAAATAAAAGATGAAAGAATATTTTTATACTTGCATAATTGTCCTTAATTAAAAACATGGGCTTTGTTTGTTTCTATTTTATTTTTACGTTTTTAGAGTAATTTTATAAATTTTGTAAAATAAGTTTTATAAAACTAAAAAATCATGTTTGGGTAATTGTTCCAAAAATTTGAATTTGAAAATAAAATTTTTTTTCAGGATAATTGTATTTAAAATCAACTTGAAAAACGACTAGAGAAGTGAGAGGCAGAGCGGAAAGTGCATTGACAATGGACAAAAAAGATAGATGATTGAGAAACAATGCAGATAAGCGTAAGAGATAGAATGGGAGAGTGTCTAAAAATTTTAGTTTAAAAAAACAACTACATGATACAAAAAATTCAAAAAAAATTGTAAAAATTGTTGAGTTTTTTGTTTTCTGAAATATATTTTTATTTTTTGTTTTGCAGAACACCTAGTTAAAAATTAACAAACAGACAATTTTTTTATTTTTAAAAATAAAAAATTGTTTCCAAAACAATAACACAAACATGCCCATAATGTTTCTCCACTTATTTTCTAAATAATTAAGAGTTTCTCTAGCAAGCTGCATTCATATATTTCGTGATAGCTTGGTGGTGAGATGCGTGTGTAAAAATATGAAATTTTAGGATACTAATTTTGAGTAAGCTGTGTATAAAATATAAGTCAAGAAACTAAAGTAGGATAATTCTTGTAAAGCCTAATATTCTTTTTCCCTTATGTCATGTTTATATTTTTGGCTAACTGCTTTCCGCAGCAAGTGATTGGAAAAGGCTTTATCACACACACAAACATTATTAGCATATGATTTTCTTTTTCTTTCAACTAAATTATTTAGAGGAAAACGCCAATATATACTATAAAAATGGATCATTTTCATGTATACAAATTTATTTGTTATGAATTTTTATATGTAATATTAAGTAAGATTAGTTTAACAATGCCAAAAATATAATTATTGAATTTATATCTTAAATAACCCTTAAATATGAAATACATGGAAAATAATAAAGGGCATATAATGAGGAAAAAAAAAGTGAATTTCAAAAAACATGCGTACCACTTCTTTGACTGATCCCTTACACAGAACAACTTCCAGAAGCAGTAAAAGCGATCAAAAGGAAACTGGAATAAAAAAGAAGAAGAAGAAGACTATTAGTGATGATATTTAAATAATTATGATATTTAAATTTAAAATGTGCGTCATGCAGTCTATTTTGTTCAGATACCATAGATAAAATTACGGTTAATATAATTTTTGGTCCTTCAAATTTTAAATCATAGACTTTCGTTCCTCAAAGTTCTTTTCATTTAAAATATTGTCCATATAATTTAATAAAAATCAAGACTATTTTGTTTTCTGAGAGACTATAACTTACAACTTGAAACTTAACAGACCAAAACTGAAATGATGGTAAATGTAAGAAACAAAAAATTATATTAACCCATAAAATAATGATGCAAAGCTATAAAACTTTCACGAAATGGAATTTTGCTTCTTAATATTAAGTTGTTAGAAAATTATAACTTTACCGCGGTCGAATCCATTGCGATTTGCGAGCTGACATAAAGAGCAATATGTCAATCCAGTTATATCAAAACCTAACTATACTTACTTTTTAACTCTCTGGAGAATTCAAAGACGTGCCTTGAACAGAGGAGTGCCTTTTTTGTCTTTTGTTTTTTTGTAGGAAAAAAATTAGAAGCACAATGCTATCAAATAAGCAGAAGAATCCAAGTGCGAACAAACTGCAAAATGAAAGGATAAACTTATCAATAAAATAGGGCAACCAGAGTCACAATAAATGATTGTTTGGTTAAGGGTCTCATAATTAATCGATTTGGTCAAAATATAAGTGTCTGGGTTTAAGTGTCTCATAATATAAATGACTTTATAAGATATGGGTGTTTGTATAATTTTTTAGAAGGGGGTTCTTCCCCCTTTTCTTTATCTTAAATAACTCCTAAATTCAGGCCAAAAAAATAACCCCTAAACAAAAAATAGATGGCAAATAACAAAGTACACATACATTGAAGAAAAGAAAAGTCGATTTCAAGAATGCGTACCCCTTTGGCCAAAAAAATTTTTTTTAAAAAAAAAGAATGCGTACCCCTTCTTTGATGGACGTTTTCCAAAAAAAAAAAAAAACACTTCCAGATTTAACAACAGAAAATTAAATGATCAAATAAAAAGGGAAAAAAAAACTCTTAAGGGCCTCATTCAAAATTGGGGAGAAGTTAACGGCAATTTTTAATGGTGTTTGTCTTTTTATTCTTTGACCTTCGGTTTTGTGAAGTTTTCTTGTTACAAGTATAACCAGTTATCTCTCCATCTTCTAAGATGATCGCGAAAAATATTCATTCTAAAAATTATACCAACTCGAATTCTTAATATAAAAGCTAGATAAATTATTTGTGAATATTAAAAAAATTAATTAAGTTAGCTATTTGTAATAAATCGATGTTCTCTTCTATAAAATACTCTTATTAATTATGTGTATTTGAATTAACCCTTGATAGTAACCTCTTGACATGTAGAATCACTATAGAGATTATTCAAAGACAAAGTGTATAAATATTTGAGGCAAAATGAGTTAGAGTCTTGTATTTAGGACGAGATAAAATTTTCAATTAGTTCTTATATTGAGATTTGGGGTAGTATTTGTTTAAGGAAAACACTTATGTCAAGTTATTTATATATGTTATGTCTAGTCCTCCAATCACGTGTGTCCATATGTCTTTTTTTATTTTACGTAGATTTATAGTTGAAAGCTACTAAATACTAATATTTCAAAAATAGAACACATTGTCATGTTTACTTAGAGAACTTAACATAATAAGTATAAAGAACTTGATATAAGTATTGTCCTTTGTTTAATATACCTTGCCGGATCTAAATTTTTTTAAAAAAAAACTATAACATTTAATAAATTAACATATCAATTAGGATAATTTCAGTCACTACCGCGTCCTATATTCACTGTCAAATCTGAGGACAGTTTGCATCTGGCTATCAAGTTTGTTTTGTGGCTGGATCTAACTTTCAAGCTTAATCAAAAGGAATATTATTGTTAACATCAAAACGAGATATATAACAAATTATTAGCTTTCCTTATAATATAAAACATTATTTATGAAGAGATTGTTCATCAAGTGGAGTATTATCTAATTAAAACGCTCACAATCATCCAAAAAATGGCATTACATACTGAAACAGAAGACAGAACTTATGAAGCAGAGGAGAGACATACAGTTAGTTATAGTATAATTAACACATGTACAGCGATAAACGAAAAGTAAATAAGAGAAAAAAAAGGGAAAGCAACGAACTTACCCGTTTTCGCAGATTGCAAATTGCTTGACAAGAGTAGACTCCTTAGCTTTCTGTTCAGATCAGATTGCTTTGAGAAGAAAAATTATTGGAGATCATAACAAAAATTTTAACAAAATGAGATAAAACTTTAAAAGGATGAATCAATAACGTAACGTACTTACCAGGAAAATAGAGCACTGACAACATCTTTGCTATCTTAGTCAATATGAATATGATTGATTATGATAATTCTTTTTTCCAACTAACTTTACACAGAAGAACATATTCTACCTATCCTTCCGGAATCAAGGCCCTCATATATATAAGATATGAATATAATGAATGGTAAATTATTGAAATTTATTAACAGATTTTGATACATAGTAAATATAGTGAAGTATCCTAAATAAGATTATGAAAAAACGTGTTATAAAAAAGAAAACAAATATAATCAAATTTGAATGAAATTAAATTTAAATGATGAAAAATATAGTTATTTTTTGATACATCCAAATAAATGAAAAATATAGTTTTAAACTATCATGAATAGTACTTATTTTAAAAATTAAATAAAATATTGCCTGTGATGTATGTTATGTACATTCATTACTCATGAGTATTGTTAATAATAATCATTACGGGTTTCAATGCTCATCACTTTGATGAGCATCCTAAACTCATTAAATCTGAACTGTTTATATTTTATTTAGATGATTGAGATTTAATTTCTTTTTTATGTTTATTTATTTAAAATAATTATTTTAATATGAATGAAATTTAAAATAAAGATAACCTCTTAACTATCATTTTTTCAAAAAAATATTTTTTCTATTTAAAATAATTAATTAAAAATTTTAAATCCAGACTGTTTAAATCAGACATAGACAGTCCAGATTTAATAAGCTTATGGTACTCATCGAAACCATGAGCACGGAAACTAATTTCCTAAAATATTGCCTTCTTCGCTTTTCTATCCGTCTCCGTCTTTAAATTTCTTTAGTTCTTTTTTGATCGAATATACTTGTTTATTTCTCAATGTTCAATTATATATGTTGGCCCAATAGAAATATTTTCTTTAAGGCTTTAAATCTAGGTTTTGAGAATTTATTAACTCTTAATTACCTAGTTTGTATTTAGCTGATTGCATATTTATTTGTCATGTATGTCGTAACCATGCATTTGAGCATATAATATTCTTGTTTGAGTTTGCTGATGGCCAATGGCCATGTGTATTTGCTTGGATAAAAAATCGCAGAACACAATTTTGGGATGGGAACACCGGAGAAAAATGAATTTTCTAAGTTGATCCAGAAATCTGAAAAGAAAAATTAATGATTTCTCTGAATGACTTGGATTACAGAATTTGTCAAGAAAAAATTTCATAGGAAGATATTCCTGAGAGCTTTAAATATCAACTCGAAATTATTTAGCGAGTTATGAAGAGATTGTTGTTTAGTAGAGCATTATTATTATCTAGCTAGTTGAAAACACTTAGAATCATCTGAAGAAGTAGAATAAATGTTTCTGAGTAGTGAAGCAGAAGAGAGAAAAGTAAATAAGAGATCAAAAGGGAAAGCAATTAATGAATTTACCTGCTTTTGCAGATTACAAATTGCTTGATGATGCCTTCCACAAAAGAGTAGTCTCCTTAGCTTCCTGTTCACATCAGATGGCTTTGAGATGGACAGAGAATTTAACAAAATTAGAGGATGAATCCCCTTAACGTACTTATCAGGAAAACTGAGCACAGAGCACTGCGAAATTTCCAGTTATGTGACTTCAATAATGAAAAGTTGTTGCTGGCTACAATGATCATCACGAGTGGGATACCATTTATTTGACAAGCATGTCCCGTGGCGGGGACCACCAAAAGAAGAGCGCTAATATTGACCCATAGCCCACGCGCGCCCTCCCACGGCTGGAACCCATTAGTAGATATTTTAATAAATATTCCCTCACATGTGAGAAATTGTACACTTTTAATTATAACAAAACAGAGAAAATGGCAAATAAAAAGGCTGAAAAATATGATACTACACATCACGCACCTTATATTTCAAGATCCTAAAAAAAAAAGATATCTGATATGACATTTTATAAATATAATCAAATAATTAAAATATCTTTATATTAAAAAATTTGGTAACAAGTTGTGAATTAATAATAACAAGTGTTGAACAACAAATGATAAGAAATATACTAACAATGACAAATTATTAATTAACAAGTTATTAACTGATAATAATAAATGTTGAACATCTTATGACAAAAAATACATTGCCAGTGTCAAGTTTGATATATTTTTTCTTTCAAATATGATACAAAAGGATTTTAGTAATTTAACCACATTTATAAAATACCAGATCAAGCACCACTTTCTTTTATGTCATTTCCAACTTTTTGGTACTTGAATTAGGACGTGATAATTTTAAGGTTCTTTTTCTGAAATTTTTTCTAAGAAATAATCATTTTTTATCAATAATAGTAATTAAGTAATAGGCAAAAGTGCTCTGGAAAAAAAAAAACAGAGACAGAGAGAGAAGGCAAAAGTGCATCTTTGCTCTTTTAACTTCCGGCAAAGTGTTTGGATAAAAATTAAGTCCTATTTTAGAAGAAATTTTATAGAGTTTGAAATAAGTAAATAAGAAAAACTTTATTTTGATTTGTGTAAAAATATTTTTTTAAAGTGTTCTGGACCTCCCCAAACACTTTTTTAGCTTTTAATACTTTACTCGGATCATTTAATTTTAAAAAACATTTTTTTAGTTCTTTAACTTGTCAGAGTTAATCTCTAGTATTATGATTTTATGTGTCAATTATTATTATTCTTAAAAATTAAACTTAATCTATAAGTATTTTAAAATATTTTGTTAACATTTAAATTTTTAATGTTAGACAGTGTTAATGTTGAAGGACTGAAAAGATATGTGCTTTAAGTACAGAGAAAAAGAACGATTTTCCAGCTCAGTTCTATTAAACAAGAAACACCAGATTTTGATCCTATCCGCATTTCACAAGTAGGGACAAATTATGCCTATAATTTCCCTCACTTTGTTGAATCTTCCTTCGATTTTATTATTGAGCTTGCATATTCTTCTTCTACACCCATATACTCTACTTTGTACCTTTTTAATCAAGTTTGAATAACTGATTCTCAACATAACAACTAGTTTAACATTCAATTTAGTCCTAAATGTAAGACCTAAATTCATTTTGTTTTTCATATTTATCTATTTTTCTTAAAATAGTTTTTGTAGTAATTTTACCTGTTAAAGATTCTACCAAATCACGATTCTAGCTAATATATATTATTAACAAAACTATTTTTAAAAAAATAACACTTATGCATTATAAATAACTAACTTAACAAACTACAAGTTTAAAATGAACTTGCTATCATATTGAAAATTGTCAAACAATCAATAAATTTATATGTAGAGATGTCCTTCTCAACTGTGGTTTAGCTATTAAACTTTTGAGTGCCTGTTTCTCTAGTCCTGAATTAGGATCCTCGGCTTTAATTTCTTTTCCTGTTTCCTCCTTACTCTAGAACATCAAAAGATATACAATTTAATTTTCTCTTTTTATTGAAGTGCATATAATAAATTTGATTCGTTTCAAAAGCACACTGTTATTTCTAGTGCTTCCCCAAAAATCTTCCGTAACTTGAAATTTTCGAATGGTTGGTGAAGTTATTATTATAGCTTTACCATATGAAGATTATTTAGCTAGTCATGAAGAGATTGTTTATCCAGTAGAGCATTATCTGGCTAGTTAAAACACTCACAATCATCTAAAAAAGCGAAATTAATGTTTCCCTTTCAAGTCTAAGTAATGAAGCAGAAGAGAGACAAACTTGTAATATAACTAAACCCAGTGACAAACAAAAAGTAAATAAGAGATATAAAGGGAAAGTGATGAACTTACCTGTGTTTTGCAGACTGCAAATTGCTTGACGATGCCTTTAACAAGAGATCGAGTTGTCTCCTTAGCTTTCTGTTAAATCAGATTGCTTTGAGAAGAAAACTCATTGAAGATCACAACAAAGAGTTTAACAAAATGAGATAAAACTTTAAAAGAATGAATCAATAACGTAATGCACTTAATTACCTGAAATATAAAACACTGAGATAGCACACAGAGCACTGTGAAATTGTAACTTATGAGACTTCAGTGATGGAAGAGCTAATGAACGCATAAGTAGACGAGGTTTCAAGTCTTCTTAGGTATCGGGTCACCAAGTCAACTTTGCAAGTCTTCCTCATATTATTATTATTCTAATATTTATCATCGATAACCATTTATTAATAAAATATTGTCTTCTTCGTTTTCTTGTGGCCCCCTCTTTACATACTTTATGCTTCTTTTTTCTCAATCTTCAAATGTGTCGGCCCAATAGGAATGTTTGCTTTAAGCCTTCTAAATATTTTAGTATTAAAGTGTCTTTTTTCCCACCCAAATTGTCAAAAAGGCAATATTCTCCATTAATCATGCAACAACATGTTGGCTATCTCAGTCAATGTTACATTGATTATGATGATTCTTTTAACCAACTTTACACAGAACAACATACTCTATCAATCCTTCCGGAATAAGAGTCAAGACCCTCATGTATACAATATATGAAAATATTGAATGGTAAATTATGGAAATTTATAAGCAAATTTTGATACATAGTAAATATAGTCAAGTATCATGAATAAGATTAGAAAAAAACTTGCCATGAAAAAGAAACCAAATATAATAAAATTTGAATGAAATTAAATTTAAACGATGAAAAATATAGGGTTTTTTACTGGCATACTATAAATAATAATTTATTTTACCGAAATGCTATAACATGAAAAATATTAACCGAGATGCTACATTTTAAAATCTTTCAAGCAATGATCGAGTTTAAATTTACAAAAAATCATTCTTATTAAAAACGAGTTTAGTGGGCCTCACATAGAAAAAAGTGAAGTTGTTCACACCTTGAACAACTTTGGCTATGTTTTTTGATGTATCCACTCTTAAATATGTATTTTTTCTTTAGCTCTTTTGTCCTTCCATTATTTTTCCTTCTCTTTAAATTTCTGCGTTCTTTCATTCTTCTAATAAAATTGGCGGTGTGTGCTACCTTCTTATATAAATTTTGTTTCAACTTGAAACTTAATTTTTCATCTGACTACGGTACAGTCCCTTGATTAACTTCTTTTATAATTTTTATATGTATTTTGTTAAATGATGAGTAGAATTTTATATTTAATCATTTTATATGTTGAGTTTATTTTAACTTTTATATGATGCCTTGTAGGCGTTGAATTTTATATTTAAAATTTTCTAAATATTAATATATATTTCATTTATCAAATTTATTAGAATATTTAATTACAACACTTATTTGTAGATAAGCTCTTCATTTGACAACTGCCTCTAAATTTAACTCATTTCATTTTACATATTGATTCACAGTAAATATTGCAGATATTTGGATGGTTGATCAGTTATTTGATTTTAGTGAAAAAGATATAAAGATCATCGACATTATCTCATTCTGACTCCCCCCAATCCTTCTCCATTTCAGTCATTCATGTCCTTATTTGATATTTATGACTAAATATAAAACTTCTACTTTTGAGCAAGGTGGATTTGCCATCTATCGAAAATCAATTTCTTTAGTTAAATCACCCAAGTTTGATTTAAATACTTCAACTAAGCAGACAAATAAGATATTTGACCAAGTTCAAGAAGTGAATATATAACAACAACCACAACATATACAAAGAACAAAATGTGGTACCGGATGTCATTAATTTTAAGGTAAATCAATTTTTATTTTTGGTTCGTGTTATTATTAATTTTTTAAAACCCCATCAATACTTATTTTCATTAATCACTTTTTAATTAGTATAGTATTAATTATTAGTATTATTACAGGGTTAATGCAAACTTTAGTCTTTTAAGTTTATCATCATTTTGGTTTCAATCCCTCAATTTTCAAATCATAGGTTTTAATCCCTCAATTTTCTTTTCATTTAAAATATTGGTCTTATAATCTAATAAAAACTTAGACCATTTTGTTCTTTTGAGGAACCAAAACCTATAGTTTGAAATTTAAGGGACTAAAATTAAAATTGGGACAAACTTGAGAGACCAACACTTATATTAACCCATTATCATGTAATGATTAACACTCATCCAATTTTTTACTCATAATTCATTATTCAAATGATTTATCATTGTTAAAATTATTGCAAGAGAGCTATGCGTGGTGAGGGATTGGGTGATGAAGTTTAAAAGTTGTTGATACCAAAATGAATTTCAAAAGCTTATTGAAAAAGTTGTTCTTAGTTGGATGAATTTTAGAAGCTATTCAAGTTTTGAACAAGTTTGACTATAGTATTTAGAGAATTTTTTTTAATGTTTATAGGTTATTTGTTAAAAAACCCAAAATATAGTTATAAACTATCATGAATGGTACTTTTTTCAAACATTAAATAAAATATTGCCTATCGTGTATGTTATGTACATTCGTTTCACGTGAACATTGTTAGTGACAATCATTACTACTAAAATATTGTCTTTTTTATAAGTATTTCTGTAAGTGTTTTTTGAGTCTGAAAATATATCTCGACCTTGGTGAATCCCAGGACCCAACTCATCTAAACTTTTTATTATATAAAAAAAATAATATTGCCTTCTGTGTTTTTCTATCTATCTCCCTCTTCATTTCTTTTTCTGATGGAGTAT